ATTTGTTTAGTCGTTCTCTGAATGATGGATTTCTCAGAGTCCCATTCTTTGATACCTTGAAGAGAACTATTTGTATATATCCCTCTAGTTTTGCTTAGTATTAATCCCTCCCTCAACAACCCTTCCTCTAATTTCTTTTTCCCCTTTTCCTTTCTCCCTATTGAGTGAAATGTATTTGTATGTGTGTGTGTTTATGTGTGTGTGTGTGTGTGTGTGCGTGTATTATTCCTTCTTTTGACTAGTTCAGATGAGAGTGAGGTTCAAGTGTTAGCCATTCGATTCCCCACCCCCTCCTTACTTCTGTAGATGCCTAAATTAGCACCCTGGTTATGTGAGAGAATTTTGCCTAACCTTCCTTTGCCTTTCCCTCTAGTATATTTATCTGCCCTCTCTTTCTATTTTTCCTCTTAAGATCATCAATACATAACAGGACCACTTCCAGGCCTTGCCTAATTAGAATCCCTTTATGGCTCATGATAATGGTAGAGTTCAATGGGACACATACAGGGTCTTCCCATATAAAAATATAAACAGTTTATCCTTGCTTAGCTCCCTATGATTGTTTGTGTTTACCTCTTTATGTTTCTCTTAACTCCTGTGCTTGAATTCAAAGTTTCTGCATAGTTCTGGGTTTTTCATCAGGAATGTTTCTTAGTTTTATTAAGGGTATATTTATTTGTTTGCTTTTCCATTTCCTGTAGGATTATACTCAGTTTTGCTGGTAAATTATTTTGGGCTATAAGACTATATTCTTTGCCTTCTAGAATATAGTATTTCCAGCTCTCTATTCCTTATTGATTTTTCAGAGATACCTTATTTTTTTTTCAGTTATTTGACTTAGATTATTTCTTGTTGTCTCATGAGGTCATTTGCTTCTATTTTGTCCATTATAATTTTCAGGGAGTTTGCTGCTTAGCCAAAGGTGTATACCTTTTGTGACAAGCAGTTTATACTATTTCTAATTCTTCCATAACTCTCATGTATTTTCTATTTTTCTTCTTCTAGCACTCTCATTTCATTTCTAAAACATTTTGAAATAATTTTATTTATTTATTTATTTTTGCTTTATCTCTTACAGGAATTCTACTTTAATCTGTACACAAGGTAGATTTTTTATTTTAAATTTTACTTGTAGAAGTTTTAGAGTCATTCTGTTCTTCTGGATTTGTGTCATGAACATCCTGGTCACAATAACAGATTTTTATGGTGGTATTTTTGTTTGTTTGCTCATTTTTTCCAGCCTATTTCCTGACTTGGGACTGGATTTAATATTAGAACTAGGTTATCCAAATTTCTGGAGGAAAGTCTGGGCTGACTCTGTTGATGATTTCTTAAGGTATTGAGTTTTATGTTACTCTAGCATCTTGAGAATAACTCTGGAGAGGAATCTTAACATTTTTAATGCTCCCAAAGTGGTCCAATCCAAGGAAAAGTCAGATTGCTGTCTCCCTCCTCCCCCACTTTTGTGCTACCACACACACACACACACACACACACACACACACACACACACACACA